CTAGAGCTGTCCCTACTGTGTCGAATTTTGACGGCAGCGATACTAATAAATGACACACACGATCACTTTCATCAATTTTCGATCCAAGGCCTTTTAGGTCTCTTATTATGGTATAAAACTTTAAGAAATGATCTTCTAACTTTTCATTCACCCCTGATCTCAAACTCCTTCAACAATTATTGATTGGGCCTTTTTCATAATTGTTACGATTCGAAAACGCCAATTATTAAAATTATTTGCTTCCAGTGTTGGTACAACTACACTGCTTGATCCCGCCATTTTGATGTCTCGTTCGTTCGATTCTTGATTGCAGAATTGTTGCAGAACTACTTCGGATTTCTGCCTCTTCCAGATGAGTTTCGATTACGATTGCGAATCTATTTGACCTGGGCCCATAACCTGATGAATATCATGGGATTTTATGGATGGACTTGAAATAAACTGATTGCACTTTATTCGATTATACGTAAAAAGGGGAACTAGTACATTGATACGTTTCAGACTAAGGTATCAGACTAACGTCTAAAGAAAAAGAAAGAGATATTAATGTTCGACAAGATTGACAAGTGACAAATGATTGACGATTGACAGATGAAATCCTTAACAGAAACAGCTATTTTCTTTAATATTATTCTGAATTAACTTGAAATATTTTCAACGTAAATTGACCTCGTAAGCAATTTTGAGAAGATAATTTTTGTGAGACCCATGTTGAATTTAATTTTATTCATTATAAACCCAATCACCTTTTTTATATATTTTGTAGTATCTTCATCATTAAAATGAAGTTTTATCATCTTCAAGGGGAGCTTTGTCCCTTTGTATGGCTTCCGTTCCTTCCTTAATGCTTCAACAGATCTTCAGTCCTTCACATAAATAGATCGAACGTCTTCATCTTTGTTGTGCACGTTGGCCAAAGTAGTAATACCAATAGATACAAATGGTTCACGATGACTTGGTACATATATTCTATTGACACTGTCAACTCACAACCACCTTCAAACGTCCACCTTTATTTTACACCTTTTGCACTTGATATTCCGAGCTGGACATTCTTTAATATGGTGAGACTTGTTGCCACAACGGGAACAATATTTTTGATCACTGTTACTTTGAACTGTTCTTCTTTCCTTATTTGTTCTCACTATATCCACAGATATTTTATATGTGTTCTGCTTCCTCAATTATTCATTTTGGTTTTTTATATTCTCAGCTCAAATGATTTTCTGAATAGTTACCTTCAGAGTGATATTTTCTGAATCTTAATATTCCCACAAACAATCTATTTTTAATAAGCTCATCATTGAGTATTCCGAATTTATAGGGATTCGCCAAAGCTATCACACTTGCTATATCATCTTCTGCCAATTCTCCTCCATGTTGGTTTCGTAAGTTGAACTTGGCTCTAATATTATATATAATATTTGTTTGTCTGTCAAAATGAGAGGTGAACAGATCTTCTGCTTCTTTATATGTTTTCTTTGCCTGGCTCTGTTGAAGTGAAATTAGTAATTTATCGACCTCAGGCCCCATATATAGCAGTAAGTTATTAATCTGAGTATCCTCGGGTAAATTTGTTTGTTTTGTAGCTTTACGGTTTCTCTGGTAATGATTCTTCCATATCTGTCACTAATCTTTTCTGAAAGGAAACTTCTGGGGAGCTGACACCATGTTGTGTACGTTGGCCCAAGTAGTAATACCAATAAATACAAATGGTTCAAAATTCATTATTCCAGATTTTTCGGGATTTTCTCTCCTCGTTTCTATAAAATGAAAATATAAATCATATTCTAATATACGTGTAGCAAGAACAAATCAGATGATATGCCCCAAAATGTCACTGCGTTTGAAGAATTTTCCTGTCAGAGAACCTAAAAGGAAAATTCACTAGCTTATCAGTGACAATTTGTATTGAAAAGGGTTTGTAGAAGAGAAATAAAGGTATATAGAAGAAATATCAAATATTCACTTAGCTTCGGACGTTTCGGGAACGAATCTGCTCCCGTTTTCAAGATAAAAAATGGACATTTGTATAGCAAATTCGTATTCGTCTTGACACTTCCCAGTTCTCAGTGACAATTGGTGACGTTGGTATTCAGGTTACAGAATTTTTTCATCAATTAATCTTGAATTCACCATTTTCATTTTCAGATTTCAGTAGTGAATACCATGCTCTATCTATCAATTGAACAGGAAGCAATGCTATTGTCTCCGTTCAGAAGAATGTAATCAGATTCCTTGATTTTTTTCTTCTGGTTGTTATCTTCTTCTCCAGTGATTTCAATATCATTCGACTCTGCCATATTATTATGTTGTCCATCTTCAGTAAGGATATGTTCAGCTAGTTTCGATTTTCGATGTGTCTTTTCTTTATATTGTACTCATGTTCCTTCGCCTTTACTGAAAGAGGTCTCTTGGTTTCACCTGTATAAAACTTTCCACGAACACAAGGTATACTGAAAATACAATTTTTTTACGATCGTTCTTCATTTCTCGGCTTTGTTTGAGTTAGAATTGATCTGATTGTATTTTCAGTTTTGAACAGTTTCCACTTTAAATTTATCACCAACACGTTTTATTTTTCAAACTTTCGTATGTCCATGGGATCGCCATTATCTCCAATTTCAAGCAATATATTTATGGAGTATTTCGAAGAAAACATCATCAAAAATTATCACAAACAACCTACAACATGGTGGCGATACGTAGATGATATTTTAATAATTGGGCCACATAACCTTATGGAGCAAGATATTTTTCTGGATTATGTGAACAATTCCGAACCTACCATAAAGTTCACTTTGGAAATTGAATCTAACAATCAGTTACCATTTCTGGATTTTCTCATTGAGAAATCAAATAACATCTTTGTAACAAGTCTATATCGTAAACAGACCCATACCAACAGATACCTGAACATTCAATCAAATCATCAGTAAAATATTGAGAGAGAAATAATCAAATCACTCCATGATAGAGCCAAATCAATATCATCTGTCATCTGAGCAATAAGTTTTCAATAACGATGTTACCACATTAAAAATGTTCTCCAACTCAACTCCTATCCAAAGAATTTTATCTATAAGACGATTCATCAAATTGAAAACAAACAAGGTCCACCAAAACAAAATCAGCGATCAATAACGAAAAAATTAATAATAATATAATACCTACCATACGTTCCCGGCATGTCTGAAAAAATAACACGTGTTGGTAATAAATTTCAAGTGAAAACTGTGTTCAAAACTGAAAATACAATGAGATCAATTCTAACTCAAACAAAGCCGAAAAATGCAGAACAATCGTCAAAAAATTGTATTTACAGTATACCTTGTGTTTGTGGAAAGTTTTATACAGGTGAAACCAAGAGACCTCTTTCAGTAAGGACAAAGGAACATAAGTACAATATAAAGAAAAGACACATCGACAAATTGAAACTACCTGAACCTATCCTTGAAGATGGACAACATATGGCAGAGTGGAATAATATTAAAATCATTAGAAAAGAATATACCAACCATGAGAGAAAAATCAAGGAATTTGCTTGCAATCTTCTGAACGGAGACAATAGCATAGCTTCCTGTTTCAGTTGATATAGATAGAACTGAAATCTGAAAATGAAAATGGAAAATTCGATATTAATTAATGAACACATCCTGTAACTGATTTGATTACCAACGTCACCAATTGTCACTGAGAACTGAGAAGTGTCAAGACGAATACGAATTTGCTCTACAAATATCCATTTTTATGTTGAAAACGGGAGCAGATTCGTTCCCGAAACGTCCAAAGCTAAGTGAAAATTTGTTATTTTTTCTATATACCTTTATTTCTCTTCTTTTTCAATACAAATTGTCACTGACAAGCTAGTAAATTCTCCTTTTAGGCTCTCTGATAGGAAAATTCTTTAAACGCAGTGACATTTTGGAACAAATAATCTGATTTGTCGTTACTACACGTTTAATGAAATAATATTCATATTTTCATTTTATAGAAACGAGGAGAAAAAATCCCAAAAAATCTGGAATAATGAATGTACCACCTCCTCGGTTAACCTGCAGACAGTATTTGGTTCTCAATTACTTGATATATTCTATTAACGCTGTCAACTCATAACCACCTTCAAACTACCCTATTCTGTATAGGGTGATACATACATACATGCTACAGTCTTCACGTCTTCGATCGTTACGATCACTTCAGTTCCACTCTCGGACAGTCGGACATGCTCTGACACTCCGTGAGACATGCCAAATCGTCGGCGTGCGAAGTTTCAAGTGATTAAAGTTTCACACTCGATAGTATTCTATTGTTTCAGATATGATTCCTCGAGGCTAACGTAGATATATATTAGTTGACCCGTGACCCGTATTAGTATAATTGGAATGTTTCGAATATGATGAATTTTAAACAACTAGTAAACATCTGTATTGAAACATTTCAAAGATGTTTTACATTATGCATAACAACACTGTTGTTGTTGATAATGATTTTATTTTTATAACATTCTGTAGTTATCTTGGAAACGGAATCAATATGTAATGTCAGATAATAAAATAATTTTGAAAAGTCATACAGTTCATTGAAATATCGAGGAAAGGTATATTCCTGAACGACTGAATCGACAAACACAGACATATTTCACATACAAACATGGCGATGTTTCAGATAACACATCTTAGATATTTGCGTGAGACATTTCAAGCAGATAATTTTTGCAATGAATATGAAACGTGTGTATTGACCTATTTCTGAAATATTTCACATAAGTTGGAGTGATTCAGAAATGTTTCCTTTACGTTAAAATTGGAATGTTTCAGATGGCACGTCTCAGGGAACTTTTGAAATCTTTCAGGAACGTGTTGTGTTCACTGGGTATCGATTTCAGTAAAATCTCACCTCGTTCAATCATGGCGGTGGAGGACCGGTATTCGCACCACATTGAACCCCCAACCTAACTTATCTTAGCGAGTTTACTATGTGCAATTTTTTTTTTCTAGTTAAACGTCGAGCAAATCAGGCATTACCTCATCTCAATTGGAACATTTCTATATGTTCAAAAAACAATTTTCCCACTGCAGCTGGTCTAGCATCCTCTGCTGCAGGTTACGCGTGTCTAGTTTATGCTTTAGCAACCCTTTATGAGATCCAAGGGGATATTTCTGGTATTGCTCGTATAGGGTCGGGTAGTGCATGTAGAAGTGTATATGGTGGATGGGTGAGTCTAAATGTTCTATTTTCAGGGAATTCAGATACGTTGACGTTCTGACTATAGCACGTAGTTATTGAAACATAAAGATTTCTTTGAAACCCCCGTGAGATACAACAGTATATTGGTTATGTATATGAGACGTACAAACAATTTGTGAATAATATAATAATAAATCATGCAGCGTACAAATCGAAGGAAATTTTTTTGAATACCGCAAATGAGTGCTAACAAAAACCGGAATCTGCGATTCAGTAATATTTACTGGAAAGAAAAATTAACAAGAAACGCTCCTTATTTCCTTGGAACATGAAAAAATTATCTGAGATAGGAATTCATTTTTTTCCTATACTAGTTCCAATATTTTGAAAACCGTAAGGTTTTTACTGAGGTCAAGTTGTGGTTTTCTGATTGGTTGTAGGACCTTGTTTATGACCAGCTAGAGTATGATCCATGATTTACCGGACACTCCCTATATCTTAATAACGAATCATCTTAGAGCATATGCACATATAAAGAGATGATATTTCAGAAAGTTCTATCGATTCCTGGAGTCATTAAAATTTTATCATCCGCGAGATCAACGTGTATAGAAGGATTTTAGATACTGCAGTAAAACAATCAAATCGAAAGTCCACACTTGACATTCTCAACCAATTAAGAGCCTGCATTTTGTATCGTTACCATAGCAACTAAAAAAAAAACGGAAATTTTTCTTGTTGGGGTAAAGAGCATGAAATTACAATGGAAATTTTTTGGCGCTTATAGGTTATCTGAAATTTTTTCCCTAAGTTGATAAGTTCCTTGTAGGAACATATATTTTAACCAACTTTAGCTAAATGAATTTGTAAAAAAAACTGAGGGATTGAGCTACTATGGTCGTATTTTTATTATTTAATTTAACTAAAGTCGTTTAATTATATTTTTTCAACGTTCATGCGACAACAAATCATCAATCATTTTGGAACTATTTTTAGTAGAAGAAGTTGTTCTTTATAACAACCATCTGTCATTTTACTATAGCGAATTTTAACATGACACACATAAACGTTCAGCTCACTCGGGACATGTTCTATCTGTAGCTTCTAGACACAGGACAGAACAAATAAATCGTCGACAGTAGCGGAGGGATGCGTAAAGGAATCACTTGCAAACTCAATGTTCCAAAACAGATATTTGAGCCTGAAGAAAATGATAATGAACAGATATCAAGTACTACTTGGTACATTCAGAGAGGTCGCGACTCAAGAAGTAGAATTGAAAAATAATTTGCCAAGAAATATAAATAGGTATTTGTAAAAACTTCACAAACGATAAGATTTCCAAAAAATTCTCTAACACACGACATGTTTCGCTAACACAGTAGCTTTGTCAGGTGATATACTGGAACAGTGAACTGGAACAATGAACAGTTCATGTCGTGTGTTTGAGAATTTTGTGGTTTGTGAAGTTGTTACATTTGCCATGGATTTCCATCAAGTAACGGCCGAGTCAATTAAAAAAAAAATAGGTATTGAAATTTGTACAAATTGTACATTACTTTAAACATTATTGGTAAAAATAATGTTTGAGTTGAATTGTCCCTAATATATCAGTTCCTAACTATCCCAATGCAAATCGATAGTGCTAATCAATTATTAAATATTTTGCTATTCAATTACTCTTTATTTTTCTGTTTTTAGTGTCACTTTATTAAAATATGTTTTAGTATTTGCATAAACGTTGAAAAAAAAAATGTATGCAACTCGTGCAAGAGTGTTTATTGCACTTGTTGCATAAATGAATATTATTCCACTTAATAATATTACGCGAACTTTTATTGATACTAAATAGTACTATATTTCTACCAACTTTAGTGAAATGAATTTGTAAAAAACTGAGAAATTGAGCTACTATCGACTTATTTTTTATTAATTTGTGTAACTGAAGTTGGTTAAAATTGTGTTTAATTTAACCTAACAATGTTATGGATGTGAATTTTATTGATATTACATACTACTTCGATTTGCCTGTGACAAAATATACTTTCACCAACTTCAGTAGAATGAAATTAGTCAAGAATAATGGTTTGAACTTCCACCAGCTACCTTTTATTATTATTTTGCGTATATAAAGTAGGTGTTTCAAATTTTATTTAGCGTAATCTCATCATAGTATTTTTTTTTCATTTCGGTGTGAAATTGCCTTACCGAATACCACTAGCTTCAATTAGAAACAGATTTTTTTCTCGAACACGAATATTCAGAAAATTCATGTTCTCGAGAAAATGTTCGGTAGTTAATGATTGAAGCTCTAGAATATCACTAGAGCTTCAATCATTACCATAAATGAGAATTTTATGATTCTTCAGGTACAATGGTGCAAAGGAACCACTTCAGATGGAGGAGACTGCATTGCTAGACAAATAGCTCCAGCGTCTCATTGGCCTGAAATGAGAGTGTTGATTCTGGTAGTAAATGATGCGAGAAAAAAGTATAGCTCTACTTCAGGTATGAGAAGTAGCGTTGAAACATCTCAACTTCTGAAATACAGAGCATCGGAAATTGTACCACATCGATTGTCTGAAATTACCGAGGCAATTAAGAACAAAGATTTTGAGAAATTTGCTGAAATTACAATGAAAGATTCCAACCAATTCCATGCAGTTTGTTTGGATACATATCCACCTTGCATATATATGAATGACGTTTCTCATTGCATTGTCGATGTGATTCATGCCTATAACGAGTATAAAACATGTAACAAAGTGAGTTCACCATTACACAATTATTATACAGGTACTTTCAAGAAACTAGATATTGTTAAATGTTCATTTGTCGTTATTTCTTTTCATTATTTTTTAGGTTGCATATACATTTGATGCTGGGCCAAATGCATGTTTATATTTGCTGGAATCCGAGGTAGAGGAAGTTTTATCTGTGATCAATTATGTGTTCTCACCACCAACTGCAAATTCCGAGGAATATGTGAAGGGGCTAACCGTTTCAATCAAAACAATTTCACAAGTATGTAATATTATTAATACTAGTTCAATCAATCTTTACATTCATAAAGATGCAAAATGTCGGGTGGTTAGCTCTGATTTTTTTGTATGTTTTACCTATAGAAGTATTATTGAAAACCTGAATTTTCAACCTCGCCAATGCACAGGAAGCGCCGCCAGCGCCGAAAAACAGCGAAATTTCGGATCATCTAGTTTTTCAGAAGTTTCAGCATGAAGAAATGGTTAAACGAGAAAAAACACTCAGTCCTTTTCTGTGGAACAGTATATTGTCAATTATTTAAAATTAGAATCACCCTCATAAGCATAAAACATTATCGAGTTAGAGCCATTCACATTCAGAGCGAACTCTTAGAATTTCAATAAATGTTTGGTTTCCATCTATTATTTCCTATTTTTCACTGTGAAGCGATGGTTTTTCAGCAAAGTTGATAGAAACTTACTTTGAAGATAAGAAATGTACCTTCAATTCCTGATGTAAGTAGGGTCCTTATCATGGATAGCTTCTGAGATAAAGCTGTTTGAATTTTGGGTGCACTTCCATCAAATAAATAATATGAAATGTAAAAAAAAGAAAAACGTAACTGAATAGTAAATGTTGTTGGTACAAGCGTACACTAACCGTAGATCACATCAAATTGTATGTAACTCTCATTGAAGATTTTACATTTAGGAAAATATAAATGTTACGTGAAGTTATTGATATCTTGAATCTTGCACCTCTTTGAAGGGGCTAGAGTTGAGATGAGTTCGTTTGCTAAATGACTGCTCTTTTCCTCCTCCAGTGATTTATACTTGTTGAAGTTGTAGTGGGGAGTGACACAAACATTTTGTGCACCATCTGTTTTGCATTATGTTTCGATTTTGGGAAAAATGTAGTCTATTTCTGTTTCCGGTACATTGTCACACGACTCCATAATAAATTGAACATATAGCTAAACATTTTAATCATCCTTTCTAGCATCCACTCGATTTGATGCAATCTCTCTCATAGGTACACGAAATGAATTAACGAAGGGTTTGTAGGGCCGGGTCTATTTTCATTTTCTTTGGGCTGAGGCCACAAGCTGACTACACTAGGGTCCCTTGATGCAAACTTGAAGGGGCTAGAGTTGAGATGAGTTCGTCCGCTAAACGAGTAGGTACTCTTTTCCTCCTCAGGTGATTTATACTTGTCGAAGTTGTAGTGGGGAGTCACATAAACATTTTGTGCACCATCTATTTCACATAATGTTTCGATTTCGGGAAAAATGTAGTCTAGTTCTGTTTCCGGTACATTATCACCCGACTCCATAATAAATTGAACATTTAGCTAAACATTGTAATCCTCCTTTCTAGCATCCACTAGAATTAATGCAACCTCTCTCATAGGTAGGTACACGAAATGATTTCATGAAGGGTTTATAGGGCCGGGTCTATTTTCCTTTTCTTTGGGCTGAGGCCATGAGACACTAGGGTCCCTTGATGCAAATATTTGAGAGGGCTAGAGTTGAGATGAGTTCGTCAGATGAACGACTGCTCTTTTCATCCTCAGGTGATTTATACTTGTTGAAGTTATAGTGGGGAGTGTCACCCGACTCCATAATAAATTGAACATAGTGCTAACCACAAGCTGACTACACTAGGGTCCCTTGATGCAAACTGACGTATTAGTCATCGTAACAGGGTACGGACAGATCCTCGTCTTCTCTCACTCTGAAGTGTTTGTGAAACAGTTATACAGTCTGTCCAAGATAAGGTTGAACAGCATGGGGATCTCGAAAACGGTAGGAGATACGAAGTCGGTTAAATGGGGAAAACGTTGCGCATTCGGAGGCTAATATCAAGAGCCTTCGAAAATTTTTAAAATTATTCTGGAATATCTATTTTTTTTTCTCCGTTATTATTAGGAGTACAGAAAAACTGAAAATACTTTTTAATAGCAACTTTTGATGACGTTCAACGTGGTGATACGAATTTTTTTATGCGACGTTTCGTATTCGTAGAACCATCATCAACTTTTGTTTTTTAAATACGGTCCTGATAATTTTTTCACAGATTCTGAAAGGTTTTTTCATTCTGAATTCAACCATGTATTATACAAGGTGATTCAAATGTGTTTCGACCTATTTTTAACCATCATCAATGTTTTTTCGAAATTCCAAAGGAAAAATGCCATCAGTTCCACTTATTTTGAAGGACAATCAGTCAACACACTAATACCTCATCAACTGGTTTCAATCAACAACCTATTTCATTTTGCGGAAACAAGAATTCCATCCATACAAATTCAAAATATGTCAAGCGCTAAAACCAGGTGATGACGAAAGGCGCAGGACATTCTGTGAGTGGTATACCAGGCAATGTCAAAATTCTGCAAATTTCCCGCGGAAAATCATCTGGACTGATGAAAGCATGGTCACTAATTATGGTATCTTCGATAGAAAAAATACACATTGTTCACGAGAAAATGAACATTTATACATTACAGCGAGACACCAACACCGTTTAATATGTGGGTTGCAATATTTGGTACACGAATTATTGGTCCTTTTATTCACCATGAAACAGAGACTTCCTAACGTTATGGAAATTTGCTTGAAAAACATCTTGAGGAAGCTCTGGATGATTTACCGATTGCGGAAGTTCAGAACTGTTGGTTTCAGCAAGATGGCGCTCCGGTACATAATTCCAGAGAAGTTCGTGCGTTTTTATCCAGAAAAATGGATTGGTACTCATTCTGCAGTCCCTTGGCCGGCGCTGTCACCTGATTTGACACAACTGGATTTTTTTTTTGGTGATTTATCAAAAACTTTGTACATGCAGATAGCTTTGATGATGAAGAAGAACTGAGGGACAGTGTCATCGAAGCTTTCAATAGAATAACCCCAGAAATGCTTAGTAATGTCTTAGAATCAACTGTGAGAAGATGATATCTTTGTTCAGAAAATGATGGTTATCATTTTGAACGTTTCTTATGAATGTTTCTGTAGGTATTGTTAAAGTTAAGTTGTTAAAGTAATTCGTGTAAGAATTCATCAACAATTTTAAGCGCTGCATTGAATGATGTAGTGAAATATTTTTTATTCACTTTTCAGTATTGAATCACTAATTCATCAATGTTTGACACTAAATGATCAGAACTAAATGGAACTGATGTCACTTTTCCTTTGGAAGTTCGAAAAAACATTGATGATGGATAGAAATAGGTCGAAACACATTCGAATCACCTTGTATAATACATGGTTGAATTCAAAATGAAAAAAACATTTCAGAATCTGTGAAAAAATTATCAGGACCGTATTTAAAAAACAAAAGTTGATGATGGTTCTACGGATACGAAACGTCGCATAAAAAAATCGGTATAACCACGTTAAACGTCATCAAAAGTTGCTATGGAAAAGTATTTTCAGTTTTTCTGTATCTCTAATAATAACGGAGAAAAAAAATGAAATAGATATTCCAAAAATTCACTTTTCTCGATATAACTAAAAAACTGAAAATAATTTTGAAAATTTTCGAAGGCTCTTGATATGAGCCTCCGAATGCGCAACTTTTTCCCCATTTAACCGACTTCGTATCTCCTACCGTTTTCGAGATCCCTATGCTGTTCAACCTTATCTTGGACAGACTGTATAAACTATGAAAATCATTCATTCTCAAAGTGGCCCCACAGTATTCATGAATGAAAGAAAAGACTCTAGGTCGGTGGACCACACTTTATATCAACAATTTTAAATTAGAAAGAGACCGGTTTCCGCACACCGGCCATCATCAGACTAAAACGACCTGAAATACATTACGAATGTTAAGGAAAAACATGTATATGGTGTCAGAATAAAACAAACCTGTTATGGGTCAGGAAAACAAACAGACCATTGAAATTAAATACCAGTTCAGGAACTGATTCCAACACATCACGAAACTTATTATGGTATTTAATTTCAATGGTCTGTTTGTTTTCCTGATCCATAACAGGTTTGTTTCATTCTGACACCATATACATGTGTTTCCTAAACATTCGTAATGTATTTTAGGTCGTTTTAGTCTGATGATGGCCGTTGTGCCGAAACCGGTCACTTTCTAATTTGAATTTGTTAATATAAAGTGTGGTCGACCGACTTATTGTCATTCATGAAACAGTCATATAGTTCCATCCTCATCTTTTTTTAGGTTATTTGAGGACATCGGCGTATACGTAATTTCCACATGGAATCTCTCAACTCTACATATCTTTTTTTTTAATTGACTCGGCCGTTACTTGATGGAAATCCATGGCAAATGTAAAGAAGTTTTTTACATCCAGCATAATCTTTGTGAGGCAGTGAGCATACATTTTTCTGAAAGTAATATATTTTACCAAATAAATTGATTGTGGTTTCAGACTAAGCCTTATGGTAGAGAAATAGTGAAAACTTTGATGTAGGTATTTAAACTAATGTGCTCATATGTCATGTGTGCTGTATAGTTATATATTCATTTTGGGTGTCAGTTTTGCAGTTTTTTACGAACACTTGATATTTTCTGAATGTAGGTTTGATTTTTTAAATGGTAGGGTATATTCTTCTGATTCTGCGTTTTAATCAAAACTATTTCTACTAATATGGATTCAAAACCTTGTGGAGTGAGAAGTATATTATAAATGATTTTGTATTAGTTTTACCTCGCGTATTTTGCTGATGTATTTACCGATTTTCCTAATTTGGTCTCTTCACTTTTTATGTTCTAAGTTCATTTGCATTTGTTGAAAAGCTGACAAATTCCAATTTGCCATCCAACTGACTGATACAGCCTAACGCAGCACTTTACCATGCTTCCAAAGAAACCAAATAAGTTTGATGTCATGTGGTTCAAACTCGATAGCCAGAAACAGACCAAATACCTCTGTTGTCTCTACTTATCACCAAATGATCCATCCTACGAAGAGCTCTTCGAATTCTTGTCTCTGAAGCTTGACCAAATTCAACAGAACCATCCAGCAGCAGAAATCATCATCATGGGCGATTTCAATGTACACAACACTGCTTGGCTCGTACACTCTAACAGAACAGATGAAGCTGGGCGACAAGCCGAAGCTTTCGCCATCACTCACGGCTTAGAGCAGCTTATCAAAGAACCCACACGAATTCCCGATGCCAATAACCATTCAGCTAACTTGACTTATTCCTCACTAATAATTCAGCACTCTACACCATAGATGTACGAGCTCCACTTGGCAATTCTGACCACACACTTATCCCCACAACCTGCCCATTTTTCATTCCATCAACTGCCCCGGCACCCCCACGTCTTATATGGCATTACAATTCAGGAGATTGGGACGGTCTCCGCATGTTTTTCTCCGAGTTTCCTTGGCATAGAGTATGCTTTGACTCTGAGGACCCTTCACAGTGTGCTGCGGAAATATCCGAGATCATCATGCTCGTAATGGACACATACATACCTCATTCTTCTAAACCCTGGTTCAACAAAAACTGTTCTAGAACTGTGACCTTGAAA